CGAGTGGCTTGCATCTTCAGAAGTGGTTTGCTTGAACGCTTACACTGTTCCGATGCGATTCCTCGGGCGCAGTCCGTATTTATGCAGCGGTTGCATTAAGGATGACTTTTAATGTTCCTTGCATGTTCAATCCTTGATAATTTCGTCTCAGTAACTTGAAGCTTTTAGGGCTTCAATCATTTATTAATCGGCTGTTTCCATTTGTCCCAAACTATTCATGGAGTCTAATGAAATAAATCGAAGAAATTTGTTGGATCCCGTTAGGAACTTCGGCAATTTGTCTTAATTAGTGTTTGAATTTATAGAAAAGCGAAAATCAGCATTATTAAGTGGAAGCCCATAAATTTCCCAGCCAATTAACGTGGCTGGTAATCATAGTTTATTATCCCGTTAAAATATTAAGGCCCATTAACGGGATCGCTCGTATTTTCCTTTTATTTTAACAATCAATATTTAACGGCTCGAATCATTGACAGAATGGCAACAGGGCAGGCTTCATTTGTTTTCCCTTTATTGGCATCATCATGTGCTGAAGGAATTTACCTACTACGAATACGAGGCCTGTTCTAAACGTAATCAAGTTAGAGGAGCCAATTAGGGGAATTGGGTGTCTAATAATAATCATTATTAAAACGAAGTTCTCCTCGCATAAGCTTGGAGAGAGGCGAGAGGCGCACTCTAATGGGACTTCCGGCTCAACTTACATCTGCAAAGTGTGTGATTTTAGGGAGTTGCGACGTTCTCTAAACATTAGCAGCTCTGTATTTCATTCGCGTCTTGTCCTAAAGGTAATTTATTTAAATCCATCGGGGGCGACACGGAGAGATCCGGTTAAACACGCGAATAAAGCGCCGTCCGGATGATCAAACAGGCCCTGGACAGTTAGAGCCTTACTTGGAAAACTGCACTAGGTAGTATTTTATAATTCTGATAAACTATTTTAGACAGGAATTTGAAAAAATCCACACCTCCATGTTTTCCTCCAAATTTCATGTTTTCCGTCCCGCTTTTGCTCATTTTTCCGAGACAAAATGAGCAAGAACGCTCATTTGTACATCATTCTAGAGAGAAATAAATGACCTTTTTAGAAAGTGAACCATGGATGGGCAAATGTTGGCACTTTTCTCAAAAAGGGC